CTTCTGAGCCTTTCCTCACTCTCACGCGCCGCCCCCTCCAGCCGCACACACAGAGCCTGGAGACGCTGAACCTGGGCCACAACCCCATCGGCAACGAGGGCGTGCGGAACCTCAAGAACGGCCTCATCAGCAACCGCAGCGTGCTGCGCCTCGGCCTCACCTCCACCAAGCTCACGTGCGAGGGTAGGGCATGGGGCCGGGCTGAGGGAGCGGTGCAGGCGGGCTTGGTGGGCGGCTAGCCCGTGGCCAGCCCCTGCGGTCCCCCTCCCAGGCGCGGTGGCGGTGGCAGAGTTCATCGCCGAGAGCCCCCGCCTCCTGAGACTGGACCTTCGGGAGAACGAGATCAAGACAGGCGGGCTCATGGCACTGTCCTTGGCCCTCAAGGTGAACCACTCACTGCTGCGCCTCGACCTCGACCGTGAGCCCAAGAAGGAGGCGGTGAGCTGAGCGGGCTCTTCCCTGAGGCCTCTGGCAGGGGGAGGGCGGGCGGCCCCGGGGCAACAGCAGAATCCACGGAGGGTCAGGCCGGCTGGAGCCCTAGCCAGGCCCGCTCCGCCTGCAGGTGAAGAGCTTCATCGAGACGCAGAAGGCGCTGCTCGCAGAGATCCAGAATGGCTGCAAGCAAAACTTTATGCTGGCGCGTGAGCAGGAGGAGAAGGAGCAGCGGCTGCAGCTCTCCGCCTCCATGCCTGAGATCACCGTCACCGAGCCCCAGCCCGACGAGGAGCCCGGGGACGAGCCCGCCACCAGGGCCCAGGAGAATGGGGCCTCGGGCCCCAGCGCCAGGCCGGACTCAGACTCAGACTCAGACTCCGAGGAGGAGGAGGACGACGGGGAGGAGGAGGACAGGGAGAGGGCCGAGGCCCCCTGCCCCGCCCTGGTGCCCCCCTCGGACTCCCTGGGCCCTGGGGACAGGAGTCCCCCAGGCAGCCCCTCCTCCCCCGCCGAGCAGCGAATTTCTGTGTCCAGCCCGGGCCGGGGCCACAAAGTGTTTGTGGTGACTCGGGTGGAGAGCCCGCCCGAGAGGGTGGAGCCCCTGGTCCCCCCTGCCCCTCCCTCTCCCCCTGCTCCTGCTCGTCCTCCCTCCCCCCCAGCTTTATCCTCCCCACCCCCCTCACCTGCCCTACCACCAGCTGAGGCCGTCAGCACCCAGGACCCGGAGGTGTGGGAGCCTCAGTCAGGGCCACCGCTGCCCAATGGCCTAAAGCCTGAGTTTGCCCTCGCACTGCCCCCAGAGCCACCCCCGGGGCCTGAGGCCAAGGCGAGCAGCTGTGGCCTGGAACATGGTGAGTGGAACTCCGGGGAGGGTGACAGAGGGCCCTGGGTATGGTGTGTGACCCTAGGCAGGCAGGCCCCTGGCCCTTGGTGGGCTTCGGTGTCCTCTTTAGAATGGCCTGTGGGGGAGTAGAAACGAGTAGGACTTGATCCCTGGCCCCCAGCTTGCTTCCCTGGGATCCCTGGGAGCTTTCCCTGGGATGGAGCAGGCAATATGTGTTGACTAGAGTCTGACAGTCTCAGTGGTACATGTGCCCTGTGCCACCCTGAGGGTCAGACATGGGCAGGGGTGGTGGTGATGGCCTGCCCCTGCCCCCACCCCCAGTCCCCACCCGCCTGAATGGAGGTTGCTTGCCCCTTCTCTCCTTGCAGAACTGAGCTGCTCCAAGAACGAGAAGGAGCTCGAGGAGCTGCTTCTAGAAGCCAGTCAGGAATCTGGGCAGGAGACACTGTGACACTTTAGGTGAGGCAGGGGCAAGGGAGGAGGGGGGCTACGGGGCCTGCAGTAGAGCCCCTGGCTCTGACAGGCCCTCCCCCAATCTCTTCTCCTCAAGTTCCTTTTTTCCGGTCAGTCTTCGATGAGCTGAGGCCAGAGCCATGAGAATCTGCTCACCCTCACCCCCCAGCCTTCCTGAGGCCTGGGCCACCAGGGGTGTGGGGGGGCCTTTCTGGGGACCTCTGCCCCCCACAGCAACACTACACAGAGTGCAGGAGCTGCAGGGACTGCCCTCCCTGCCCTGACTTAAGCACTATTTCTGTGTCCAGCACTCTAAGGCTCTGGGCTGGGGGGATGGGAGGAGAGGTCTCCGGGGACATCCCCGAGGCTGGACACCTTTTCCAGATGGCCTGTTTGGCCGGGCTTGCCCTACAGAGGGCAGGAGTCCTGGGTGGTGGTGGGATGGCTGCCCGTGTGTCCCCGGGATGGGATGGGGGAGGAGGCCTGATGAGGGAGGGGCGGTGAGTGGTGGTGGTGGAAATTGGTAGAGCAGCCCCAGGCTGGGGTGAGGGCCAGGGCTGGGGGAGGGGGGTGGGAGCTGGGAGCAGAGCATCAGAGCTTTCTTTTTCTTAAGTGCAATAAATCTATCAGGGAGCTGGGGCGGGGAGCAGCCAGGGTTCTAGAGACCCGGCTGCCCTGGCCCCTTGAGGCTGCGCCCTGAGAGGCACTACAACCCGGGGGGCTGCGTGGGTGTGGGGTACGGGGGAGGGGAGACAGGGCGGGGGAGGGGCTACTCCTGTCGGTGCAACTCTGTTCACACCTTTTCTAATAAACCAGAGCTGGGTTCACCACACTCGCCTGTTCTCTGCTTGTGCCGGTAGGGGGGTGGGGGACACCCTTGTGGGAGTTGTGGGCACAGGGAGCAGCAGGGAGGGCAGCGGCAAGACAGCGGCCCCCCAGAGGAAAACTGGGTGCCTGCGCAGGCAAAAGCTACACCTCCCACAACACTCCCAGCCCTGTGCCCTCCCTCACCCTTTTTTTTTGCCTCGTCCACACTCTTACATCGTACCCACCATCCAGTTTACAGTCCCATTTCTCCAGAGGGAAACAATCCCCAAAATATCTTCCAGCTTCAGGCCTAGGCTCTCTGGTGATGGAGATGAGCTGCGCACACACGGCTCGGGGAGTAGGAACCAGCTTTTGCCCCCAGCGGCCCCAGATGCTCTGCAGTTCCGAGGGCGCAGGCTCCGTGGACACATTTTCAGACTTTGAGCCTCCGAGGCAGGGAGACTACATTTCTGCCCTAAGCCGCCAGGTGGTGGGACTGTGTCCGAGCAGCCCCAGGGCACGAATAGGCTAACTGTGCGGTGCTCCGGATTTTCCACCTGGATCCCACATCAGTCTCCATTGCAGGGGGAAATCCCCTCGGCCACCCAGCCGTCCCTGGAGCTGGCGTGGAGACACACTGAATCCATTTTATCACTGGGCTCGATGCTGCACCTGGTCTTAAAGATCTCAGTGCTGCCACACAGGAGGTGTTTATTTCCATGCGTGGGGAGGCTTAGGTAGCGGACAGCTGAGCTCCAGAGTGACTGGCAGAGCCAGGCCTCTCTCCTTAGGGCCCGGGGATCCCCAGCATCCAACAGGCGGGTGGGGGCACAAGACCGGACAGGCCAGACCTGCTTCTCTGTTGGCACGACGGGAAGGGGATGCACATGGCTCGCATTCCCTTTTCGTGAGAACTAGCCTCGTGGCCTCACCGAGGTGCGAGCTGTCAGCTGTCTGCATGGACTGTGGAGAGGGGACGAGTGCCAGTGGACAGTGAGCCATCACAGCTATGCGCCTGGCCACTCAGTGACATTCCGTTTTGGTTTTCCTAATCCCCCAACAATAATTTTGTCGGATTCAGACTTTGTCATAGTCCCAGAGACACAGACCACCGTCTGACCACTGCTTGACACGACTTAGCAGGAACTATGGCTTCTTCCCAGGGTCTGGGGTCCACCCTCCTGCTCCCACCCTGCAGCCAGCATACAGGTTAGTGAGCCCCTACTCCTGCCGCCAGTTTGTGTCAGCCTGGACCGCAGGGGGTGAGAAATAGAAGCCCAAGCCCAACTGGCTGAAGGGAGGCAAAAGGGAAGGGACCTACTGGCTCCAATACCGCACGTACGGACACTGACCTAATGGTGTCCTGAGGACCCATGCATCTCTGGGTGGGGGGAGCTTTACTCTTGGGCAGGCTCCCCGCTGCTGTTGGAGAACGTCTCCCAGCAGGTGCAGGTGTATCCCACCAGCTTAGCCATGGGACTGAGCTAGCATCTCCAGCACGTCACAGGCCGGCGCTCTGCCCCATGTCCACTTTGAAGCAATCATTGGCCAGTGGAGTTGGGGTGCTGTGCCCCAACCTTGGGGCTAAGGAGTGTGAGGTCAGTACCCCTACCAGGCCACAGGGCCTTCCCAGAGCTCTTGGCTCCCTCTGGGTGTCCCATCAGCCCTAGGGCCTTCGCTTAGAAGTTACACCCTTGAGCTCTTGTCACACAGGATAGGTTAAGTGTTGACATCTCCCCAGCTGGACTGGACCAAGCACAACACAGGCCGCAGTGGTGGCTACTTGACCAATGAGAACTCAGAAGGTGCCCAGAGGAGTGACACGTGCCCTCCTAGGTCTGTGTCATACTGGTGGAAGGGGAAACTGGAGAGCAATGTGTTTAAGAAACACACACACACACACACGGTGCCCTGACTGACTCCAATTCTGTATGTCCTGCGGGTGCCGCATCTCTGCTCCCCAACCTCCCAGGTCTCATCAAGGGCTCACCAGTTTCCCCTGGAGTGACCTGTAGGTACACCCTAGACAGTTCTGGTTCCAGAGAGGCAGCACTGCCCGCCCCAGCTGGCAAAGGTACCAGCCAGCCAGGCATAATGAATTCATTACACCAGGGCAGAGCCACCCCTCGAGTGGAGCAACCTGCTGAGGTCACTGGGGACACCGCCCTTGGAAATGCCAGCTCCTGCCCTGCCTGCATTGGGGGTGGGGACACGGACCTGGATCCCCTGAGGCCTAGGTGCTCTCTGCGGCCTGAGTCAGCCTGGCACATCCGTCCTCTCCTACTTCAGTGGCCTCACCCACCACCCCCGCAACCCCTCCTGCCACCAGGGATGCCAGCAAGGAGGCTGTCAGCTGAAGCTGCCCAAGGCTCCCTGGGGGTGACGAGGCTTGGCAGGATAGGGTAGGCCTAGTTCCCAGGGCTTGCTGAGCCAGGGAGACCAGGACATGAAGACCAACGGGGGCTTTCACATCTCCGTTTATTGCACTTGAACCCGGGGCTCTTCACCGGTCCTCTGGTGCCAGCTCTGACATTGGCACTGTACGCTGCTACTGCCAACGGCCCTCTCTGGCTCACGGATTCACCTGTGGTGTGTGGCCACCACAGGCCTCATTGTGGACGTGGACCCTGGGCCTTGGGCTCAGTCCAACCCCTTACACCCTTGTCTGGGCGGAGGGAGGAGCCTTGCCTCCTGCTGCTCCGGGTACTCATTCAAGGCCCACCTGGGCGGTAAGGGTTCTCTCAGGCCAGGGGTCTCGGCTTGCCCCCCTGCGCCCAGTCCCGGGGCGGGTGGGCTTCGCTGGCGTGCCCACGGACATGCTCGGCACCCTGACCTGACCGGACCGTCCCGGGGACATGGCCGGCTCCGTTTGTGGCGTGGGGGGGGTCGTGGGCCGGGGACTTGGGCGGGCTGGGCGGCTTGAGCGCGCTGACCGCGCGGATGAGGCCCATGCGGCGGCGGATGGAGTGGTCCAGGTTGACGGTGCAGCGCAGCAGGCTCTGCGCCTCGGCCACCGTGAAGGGGAAGTCGGAGCCCAGGAAGCGCTCGAAAAGCTCCGGGTCGCCGTCCAAGTCCAGCACGTTCTGCAACGCCTTGGTCATGGAGTGCAGCTCGCGGCTGTTGTCGCAAAACACGTCCCAGAGGCGCGCGCGGGCCTCGGGCGCGCCCCCCGCCTGCTGTCGGTCCTCCAGGCACTGCAGCACCCAGCTGAGGCGGCACGGCCACTGGTTGGCGAGCACGACCCAGGCCACGGCCTGGCGCGGCGTGGGGCCCGCGCAGTCCCCGTCCTGCTGCTGCAGCAGGCGCACGGTGATGGGCACGGTGTTGACGATGCGCCGCATGGACACCACGTTGTCGGGCACGTACTCATAGAGGCAGTCACGCTCGTCGTGCAGGCAGAGGAGCGCCTCCTGGATGCGGCGCGCCGCTTCGGCGTCTATGCGGCTCTGCGCGCGCTCGGTGCCCACCCGCGTCTCCACCGCCAGGAGCTGCGCGTCCTCGCCGCCGCCCCCGCCGCCCCCGCCGCCGCCGCCGCCGCTACCGCCACTGCCGGGCCGCAGCTTGCGCGTCATCTCGCGGTAGAGCAGGTCGTCGCGGCTCAGCACGGCGTCCTGCAGGAACTGCAGCTTGGTGCGGCGGCCCATGATGGGCACGGAGAAGGGCAGCGTGACGGTGCGGTTGAGGAAGAGGTAGCCGTTGTCGGCCGTGCCCTTCATGGAGCCGGCGCTCTCGAGGCACGCGGCCAGGATGCTGGGGTCCACCACGAGGATGAAGATGAAGGGCGCGTGGCTGTCGGACAGCAGCGTGTTGATGGCGTTGAGCACGCCCACCACGCGCTCCGGGTAGCACGTGTCCAGCCCGGTGACCTCGAGCACGACGCGCAGCCGGCGCCGCTGGTAGATCTCCAGGAAGCACAGGAAGTCGGTGAGCAGCTCCACCTCCTTCTTCACCTCGCACATGAAGCCCAGCTGGCTGCCGAACTTCTCGCGCGACACCAGCCGCTCGATCTTCTTGCGCTGGCTCACGAACAGGTGCTTGCCCACCGAGTACACGGCCATGAGCAGCCCCGAGCCCGACAGCGTGGTGGCCGCGCCGCCGAACACCCGCAGCAGGCTGCCGCTGGCCGCGCCGTGGCCCGGCGCGCGGGCGCCCACCGACAGGTACAGCAGCCCCACGCCCAGGCCGAGCGCCGCCAGCAGCGCCAGCAGCGCCAGGCACACGCGGCGCCGGCAGTGCCACTCGCGCTGGCAGAAGCCCGGCGTCGTGGCCGGCTTGTTGCCCAGCACCGAGTACACGCTGAAGGGCAGCGCGCCGTACTGGTGGCGGATGCCCTCGCACAGCGTGGTCACCAGGCCGGCCCACAGCTTGTCCGTGCCCGCGTACTGCCAGGCGCTGAAGCGGATGAAGAGGAACTTGACGTTCTTGCGCCGCAGGTGCACCTCGGTGATGACCGGCTGCAGGAACACCAGGTACCACAGCAGCCGCGGGAAGCCCCAGCCGCTCACGGGCCGCGGCTGCCACTGCACGCGCCGCAGCTCCTCGGCCTCGCGCTGCGCCGCCTCCTGCTGCATCAGCGCTGCGGGGGGGTGGGGGGGGGCGTGAGCGGCGGGGGGCGGGGCCCAGAGCCGGGGACGGAGGGGCTGAATGAAGCAGGTGCGGAAGCGCAGGCCTGGAGCCCGCCTTGGACTGGAAGAGGCCTGAGTGCGGCCGGGGTGGGAGTGGGGGCAGAAGCAGAGCTCCCGAGGGAAGGCGCCAAGGAATGGAAGATTGCATGCGAGGGGCGGAGGAAGCGAAACGCAGGGCAGCAGAGTACAGCCTTCGTCTGATTCTCCTGGTTTAATGCTCCTCCTCCTCCTCCAGGAAGCCCTCCCTGAACCCCAGGCTGGGTCCTGTGCCTCCTGGGCTCACCTCACCCCAACACTACCCACTGTTGAGTCGTCACTCCTTGGGGACAAGTCCATCTCCTGCTCTGGCCTGTGAGGCCAGGAAGGGCAGGGCACCGGTCGTCTTGGTCATCCTGTGTCTCCTGGGCACCAAGGAAGGGCTGGGGGAATGTCTGAAGGATGGATCACGAGGGGTGGGGGCAGGGTCCCTCTGCTATTGAGGTCAGTGAATGAATGAATGGGAATGTACCAGCATAGCACAGACTAGGAGCTCCAGAATGCTGTTTCCTTTTTCCTTATAACCGGATGTTTTCTCCTCCCAGGACCCTGTTTATTGCTTTATGGCAACACAGGGGCAGATGCAGGCCTGTTTAGCAGGTGCTCGCCAGGGCTGGGCTCACCCAGGTGAGTCACCTCCAGCCCCTCTGACCAGTTAGGGCTGGGGTCTGAGCAGGGTCTAAACCAAGTTCAAGCTGCTGTGGATCCTGGCCACGTTTCAGCCCATGGGATCGGGTAACCTCTACCTGTTCGGGGGTCTTGTGGGTGCCAGGCCCTGGGCCAGTGCTGAGAAGCGATGGGTCTGGGGGGCACAGGAGGGACTTTGCAGGAGCCAGTGAGGAACCTGGGCTTTCTCCCTAGAGTGCTGGGAAGCCATGGAAGGCTTTTCAACGGGAACAACAGGGCTAGACCTGTACCTTTTTTATTTTTAAGATTATTTATTTATTTATTTATTTATTTATTTATTTATTTATTTATTTATTTGAGAGAGAGAGAGAGAGAGAGAGCAGGGCAGGGGGCGAGGGGAGGAGCAGAGGGAGAAGGAGAGAGAATCCCAAGCACACACTCTGCTGAGCTCGGAGCCCAATGCAGGGCTGCATCCCACGACCCCAAGATCATGACCTGAGCTGAAATCAAGAGTTGGACACTTAACTGGCTGAACCACCCAGGCACCCCACTAGAGTTGCATCTTAAAAAGATTCCTTGGAGTGGATCTGGAAGGGGAGGGGATGAGACTGTTGGCCAGGAGGCCAGAGAGGAAATGGGCAGGGACCCAGGGGCAGAGGCTGTGGGCGTCAGGGGAGACCTGGTTAATGCTGACTTATAGGCATCTGGCCTCAGGAGCAAGGGGGTCTTGAGGGAGCCTGAGGCTGGACCAGAGGCTCGTTTCCCCTGCTCCCCACCCCAGAACACACAGAGCCTCACCAGTGATCTTGTCCAGCATCATGTGCAGGCGGCAGCCAAAGGGGGCATAGAAACCCACGGTCACCGGGACAGGCACGTGGCAGAGGGTCTTGGCCAGGCAGCTGCAGTAGACATCATCTTCTGTCAGGATATCTGGAGGCCGGGGTTGGGGAAGGGGAGGGGAAACTGAGTCAGTGAGGCTGGCCAAGCACCACCTTCCTCCCCATCTGCCCTCAGGAGAGCCCACCCTCAGCTCCTCCCTCAGCTCAGCATCCTACTCCCCAACTCTCCAAGATGACTCAGGTCAGACCCGCAGATGGAGATTTCTGGAGCAGTAGGTAACCCCCTTCCCCGATGTGCCCCTCTGAGCACCACAGGAGGAGCTGACCCCAGATCCACCAGGGAAAGGCGCAGAGGTTAGACTCCCCACCGAACCCCAGCACAGAGGCCCAAGGGATTGACAGGCCCTAGGTCACTAGGCTCAGCCACCAGCTCATAGTGTCCCCAAAAAAATCCTATGAACCTTTCTAGGGACTCGCCCTCAGATGCCTAAGACACCTCTTTACATGTTCCTGAAGTTTCTCGTATCAGTTCCTACCTGCTCTGCTAGCCTGGCTGCAGCATGGAAGGGCCCCGACGATCAGAGGCTCCTCCTGGCTTCCTGTCCATCCCTCACCCTGACCTCCATCCCCCTCCAGGACCCCATGCCCACAGCCTCTCACCCTGCCCCAAGCCCAGGCAGACCCGGGTCTTGGTCCCAGCCCCGCCACCTTTTCTGCATGACCATTGAGAGGCTCAGTATCCCCCTCTGAAGAGGGGGTGCAGAGACACCAGGGTAGCATGGATGCCAAGGGGGCAAGGCAGGGGTGGGCCCTGGGTCGATGCCATGGTCTGGAACAGCCCTTTAGGGAACAGATTCAAGTTCAATTGCTGGCACCATGCACAAGAATCACAGTGTCACTCGGCTGAGGGCGTCCAGCCCCCCGGAACCCCACTGAGTGCTACTTCTTGGACTGGAGCTGGGGCACCAGAAGGGTGGGGGTCAGCTGCACAGCCACAAGGCTCCCCCCCCCCATCTAGCCCTCCCCACACACCAACCTCCTCCTCACTGTCCCTGGAACAGGCCACCTCACAGTTTGCTTTTGCTGATCCTGCTGCCACTTACGCAAGAGACCTGCCCCCCCCCACGCCCATCTTCACTCAGATGTTGCCCTAGTGGCACCTCACCTGATGACCTTCATTTGCAAACCCGATGCTCCTTCGCCTCCTCTGCCTTGTTTTTGCCCAATGTGATTATCACGGGGTGACACACTTCAACTTGCCTTACTTATCTGGTTCCTGTACCCACCTTCCTCCCACCGCCTGTAGACCGTGAGCTTTGTGAGGACAGCAGTCTCTGCCCTCCTACCCCTGCAGCCCCCACCCTCCGCTCCTCTGCTGGGCACCCACTGCAGGCATCCCATACCTAGTCGGAGGGTGGGTGGATGGATGGATGAACGAGTAAGTGAGTGAAGGGATCCCTCCCCTTGCCGCCTGTTCTCTCCAGCCCCCAGGCCACTCCCTACCTTTTGCTGCAGCAGCACCTTTGACCTGTCCCCCCCCCACCCAGCACCAGAGCTGCCCAGCAAGCTGGTACCTGTCACCCCCCTGCCCCACGTTCTCTCTGGCCCCGTGGGCTGGGCCCAGGGGTGGTGGGGAGGGCCAGGGAGAGAAAAAGCAGAGCAAGGCTGTCAGCAGAGGGAGACAGCCAGGGCCCAGACCCCCCGCTAGCCCAGGATGAGGCACCAGGGCCAGGCCTGGCCTGGAAGCTTGGATCCCGCCAGGTGAAGCAGAAGCAGCTGCCTGAGGGCCCAGGGTCAGGGACCGCCCCCTCCCAGGCAGGGACCAGGGGAGCAGGGAGGAGGGCAGGCCGAGGGGCCAGGAGCCCCCGAGGGAGGACGCAGCAGGGACAGAGCCCGCAGGAAGGCTGGGTGAGCACCGGAGCTGTAGGTGAAGGAGCCGCAGGCTGCGGGGGCAGGCAGGGGGCGGGCGGCACTGGGCCTGCCGGGCTCCAGGAGGGCGCGGGCTGTGGAGGCCAGGCCTGGGCCGCTGCTGGCCATGGCAGGAGCCGCGGCGGGTGAGATGGTGGGCTCGGGGGGCGGCTGGGGGGCGGCGGCCGGTTGCATGGGGGCAGCAGCCGTTGCACGTGGCCCCTTCCGGGCCCCTGGGACGGAGCAGAGTCGCTGCCGCAGGGGGTTGGGAGGTGGGGGCTGGGGCTGCTGCTGCTGCTGCAAGATGGGGGGCTGGGGGCCCCGGCGGCAGCCGCTGACACCCCCCCGGTGGCTGTGGTAGGCCAGCTGCCAGCACACCTGTGGGGGCAGCCGATAGGGCCCGTGGGCTTGAAGGGCCGCTGGGTCATGGCACCACTGGTAACAGCACCCTGGAAGGAAGGAAGTGGGGGCGACTGGGCCTGGGTCCCTGACCCCTGGGGGGCATTGGCAGGAACCACCAGGTCGAGTCTTCAAGTGGAGGCTGGGGCTGGTCCCTCCGCGGAGGTCCGGGAGAGGTCAGAGAAAGTGAAGAGGGGGTGTGGGCAGAGCGGGTGGGGGGCAGTCTCTGTGCTCTTCCATCCAGGGGAAGAAGAGGTACAGAGGCCCTGGCTTGAGTTGGCCGAGGGGCTAGAGTGGGGACAGTGCCTTTTGGAGTCCCTGGGGCTGGTGGGGGGCAGAGAGGAACCCGCCTGCTTGGTCCAGAGGAGCCTGGAGTGATGAGAGGGGACCACGGAGAGGGGACGGGGTGAGGACTAAGAAGGGGGTGGGCAAGGGGAAGGCTGGTGGGAAAGGGGCTGCCCTGGAAGGCTGGGCCCCGTGGGAAGTAACTGTTCCCATTCCCAGCCCCACAGCAGGAGGACCTGTGGCCACCAACCCCCTGGAAGCTGTCCCCCCTTCATACACACTCAGTGGAGGGGGGAGCTGCTCTCCCACCACATTGATCCCTCCCCACCCCCGGGCTGGGCGTAGGTCAGGGGTGTTGTCTTCACAGGCCTGGCGATTTGGGGTGGGGGGAGTTATACCCATGCTGGGGGGAGGGATAGGCCGGGTGGGCCCCTCCCCTGCTGACATCCCCATCTTGGGCTCCCCGGGACCTGTGCCCGCCCCCCCACAACCCTTTTATGTAGAAGCCTCTGTGGGGAGGCCCAGTAACTCCTCCCCCCTGGGGCCCAAGGTTCTCCTGCTCAACCATCCAACACTCAGCAGCCCCCCACTCCCAGACCACGCTCCCTGCTAGTACCCCCCCAAACCGAACCCCTACCTTTTTGGTGCCCCAACTCCGGATCCAAGAAGTAGCGCTCAGCAGGGGTCTGAAGGGGCAGGGCGCCCCTGGCGAAGCGGACGGTGTAGTGTTTGTGCATGGTGGCGGCGGGAGGCGGGGGGCCTGCTCCAGGGGAGGCGGAGGGGGGCTCAGCGCCGGCTCCGTTAGGTGCCAGTGGGAAGAGGCCCCCCCCCGGGATGCGACTTGGGGCAGGCGAGAGACCCCCGTCCCTGATGTTGGGGCTCTGGGTCACCAGGTGGGGTGGAGGTGCTCTTCAGAGGAGGAGTGGTCAGGTGGGGAGAAGGACAGCTGGATGGGGGAGAAAGGAGAGTGGTTGGGGGGGGAACGCTAGGGGCTAATTTGGGGTGCGTGAGATTTCCAAGGTTGGTGATTGGGTGTTTGGGAGCCCCTGGGAGTTCCCAAGAAGCCAGGACAATGGGGGTGCCGGGCAGACATGGGCTGGGGAGACATGGTAGCCCCAGGGGGTGCTGAGAAACTGCAGGGGACCATGGCATGTTGGGAGGCGCCGGCTGGCGCTGTGTGAAGGGACAGGTCACCAGCGCGGAGAGAGCTGGGAGCCCCGGGCCACCGCCACCCGAGGGACAACTGAGACATCTAGGGCCTGAAGGAGGGCGAGGGTGGGGAGGGGAATTCTGGGGGAGCACATTCAATCAGGCTGGCCCAATTTGGGAAGAGGCTCAGCAACTCGGGGCGAGATGGGGTGCACAGGTCTAAAATGTGGGGAGCCGAAAGCCAGAAGGGAAGGAAGGATGCGTGTGTGGGGAGGCAGGTGGGGCCCAGGGGCAGAGGGAAGGGGGTTGTCGCGGCTCAGTGGGGTGGGGGCCCCGCCGCCTGGCCCCTGCCCGCCCGCCCCTCGCCTGGGGTCCCCCGTACCTACCTGTGGCGGCCTCCAGCCCGGCTCCCTGCCCTGCTGAGCTGCTGTGCTCAGGCCCCATGGAAACAGGCCCCGAGCTGGGTGCCAGCCGCCCGACCGGTTTGCCCGCCCTGTCCCCGCCCCTTCCCCAGAGCGCCGCCCCGCCCTGCCCGGGGCTGCTCTCTGCTCTCGAGGACTGGGGGTGCTCCCCCACCCGCGCCCGGTACCCCACATAAGGGAGGGAGGGGGCAGGCCACGGTGCCCGCCGGGGGCTCCACCTGCGGGGGGCTCTGCAGACCCTGCCTGCCCCGGTCCGGTCCGTGGGACCAGGCGAGGAAGCTGGCGCAGGGACTGAGTCCGGGGCCGGGAGGAGACGCAGTCCTGGGCTCAGATGCCAGTTCCTCCAGGGCCCAGCTGTGTGACCTTGGACAGGTGACTTCACCTCTCTGAGCCTCGGCTTCCTCATTGCTGAGTAGGCCCGGCACGACCAACGTCGCGTGGTTGTCAGGAGTCCACTGGGCAGAGCGGGGCACTCAGGACAGCAGCTGGCCTCCGCGGGGCGCCGGCTGCCCAGATGCCTCATAGCGGAGCGACCCGCAGACGGAGGCTGCCCAGGCGCGCACCGCGTTCGCACTTTTCCCGCTGTTAACCCCCTTCCTCACCACACCCGAGCGGGGCTGCCGTGACGCCCACGTCACAGCTGAGGAAACCGAGGCCCAGAGAGGAGGTTCCTTGCCCCGGGTCTCACGGAAGCAGAGTGGGGCTCCTGAAAGCAGCGGGCTGTGCCGCAGGCTCGCTGATGGGTGCAAGGCTCCTTGTGGACATTCTCTGAGAGGTGAGAGCAGGGCCAGGGCTCAGGAAGAGTGGGGAGCACGGGGGGGGTCCCTGCTGTCCAGACCCGTGTCCCTTCAGCTGCGGGCGCCACGGGGCTGACAGACACTGCCCGGGGAGACGGGTGATCTGGTGGGGCTGGGGGAGGTGACTACGGAACAGTGCCCGGGACAAGAGAGAAGGAACCCATCTGGTCCTGGGCGACACCCCTCCAGGGGTCCCACCTGGGTGACCAAACTGCCCCCTGTAGCCAGAGCCAGGCCTCCTTCCATCCGTGGGGGCCAGTCCTGTCTCTCCCCCCCAGGCCTTCAAGCTGCTTTTCCTGGGAGGCTTCCTCCCTGTCCTCTACCAGCTGGGGACTCTACCCACCACCCCCACCCCACAGCCATCCAGCCAACAGGGGGGCAGGGCTAGTATGTCTGAGAGGGGGGCAAGGGTGCGGGGGAACCTCCAGGATGTGCCCAGGAGCTTCTTGAGGGCAGGTGGGGCCAATCCTCTGCCATCCCTGCCCACCTGCACACACAGATTGGTTGAATAACCAATTCTTTCTGGGAAACATCTGCCAGGCTCTGTGCGGGGCAGAGCCAGCTCCCAGCAGAAGGATCCAAAAGGACCCAAGATGTGTGTCGGAACATAAGTGACCACCACAAGGCAGGAAGCAGCTGTCTAGGGGTGCTCCCGGGCTGCGGGCGCAGACAGTGCATAACTGCTCTGAGGGGGTGGTGGCCAGGTGGCTGCAGGAGGCCGAGGAGGGGGCGGCAGCCTGGGAGTGGGGCACAGGGCAGGGCAGCCTGGGCAGGGAACGGTATGTGCAAAGGCCAGCAAATGCGGAGCGCAGCTTTCTGGGCTGGGGATGGGCAGGCCGATGCAAGGGCCACATGGGGTGTCTTCACAGGACTCTAGAGCCAGAGGGGCCTCCACCCACTGATCTTTCTGCTCTTGTTTGGGTCTCACCCCAGCCTCAGTTCACAGTTCTGAAGCGGGGGTACTTACCCACAGCAGGCAGCAGGGCCTGGGCAGAGTCCAGGTGTGTGGGACCCTCAGGTGCCATGAATGTAAGGGGGGCAGGGAGCCGCAGCGCCCAGGGCCAGGTCCGCTGGCCTGTTGTTCTGGGTATGACCTCCATCTGCCGGCTACCTCGAGTGTGTGTGTTGGGGGCCGAATGAGGGTGTCTGGTCCGTTTCCCCCTCTCTGCCCATCCAAGGTCCTGGCAGCTCCAGGCCTGCCCCTGCCCACACTCTAGGTGGCCCCCACTCTGCTCCCCAGGAAGAGGTCCATTGTGCGTGCCCCACTGGGTGGAGGACAGCCCCAGACTTGTTGACGCGGACAGGGTTGCCAGTGCCGGCCCCTCTGCTCCCCCCCCCCCCCCCCCCGCCCCGGACCAGGTGGCAGGGCAGAGGCGGCAGGCCCTGGGCCGGCCAGCCGTGATGGAAGGGGCCTGTAAGGGCAGGGAGTGAGGGATGGAGAGCCACACAGGGGGCTCTGCTCCCCGCCCAGGACCTGTGACAGGCATTGCTTCACAGATGCTCCCTCCCCCTCAGCGCTCAGAGTGACCCCCTCCTCCTTCCACTTTAAATCTGGCTCCACATACAGAACCTTTATTGGGCATCTACCACGCAAGGTGAGGAGTCTGATGCGGGGATCCCTTCACACTGGCCCCAACTTGGGCCACCTCATTCCTAGGACACCCCCACCTCCCTGTGACACCCACTTGTTGAACACGTGATGCCCTGGAGTGGTTGGACCCTTGCCCCCCTCCCCTGCTTGTTTATCACCCACTACCAGCCCTCTGGCAGCGCTCCAAGGTCCCTGGGCCAGCGGTGGCTGTGAGGCTCAGCCTGGGGTGGGGGCCTGGGGCTCCTCAGGTTTTCTGAATCACCACCTGGAACTTACCTGGAAGAGAAGGGCTGGCTTTAGCTTGAGGCTGGGGGATCTGAGGCCCGAGGCAGAAAGCACCTGAACAGCTCAGAGATGCTCAGAGACACTCATCCCTGCCCTGTACCAGTGGCCTGGCTGGCCTGGGGCGGGACCAAGGGGTGGTCCAAGGGGGTGCTGCTCCCCGCCCACCTGGCCTGCATCCTAGAGCTATGTGGGTGACTAGGAGCATGAAGGTCAAGCATGCAGGGTGCTGAGGAGAGGCCTAGCACAGGCTTCTGTGGCATGTGTTTCTCGGGTCCTGCCTACCTGGCCTCAGGTCCCCACCATGAGGAGGCCTGGGGCACCAGCAGAGGGAAGAGCCCTGGGGTTGGGGGCAGCAGAGGGTAGGCTGCAATCCATAGGCCCTGGCTGCCCTTTAGGGCCCCCCATTAGAGCATCAAGCAGGCTGACTACTATTACGTCCACCCGGAATCATGTTCGCCACCACTAGACCAGCTCCTCGTCCCATCCATGGTTCTCTGCTCCCAGCTGGCACAACCTAGGGAAGCAGGCTTGGGGGACAGCACAGGTCCAGCAGCATAGCCAGGTTGCTCCAGCCACATAGCCTGGGCACGGGACTTAAGCTCTCTGGGCCTCAAACTCCCCATCTGCCAGTGGGGTCCCGCAGGTCCCAAAGCCTTGGCAGCAGGGACAGGAGACCTCCAGAGCCCTACCACACAAGGGACGGGAAGGGCCCCCTCCCCCATGACTCACAGGTGGGCAAGGATGCCACGGAGGCGGTGACCAGGCTCTTGATGCCCAGGGTGCTGAGGGCACCTCGCAGGAGGCCGCAGGTGAAGGCCAGGAACTAGGGGTGGGTGGAGGGGCACACGTCACCCAGGGAAGTGGGGAGGCCAGCACCCAGGACAGCGGCCATGCTGGGCTTTGGGTTCCACAGTGGGGGCAAGTCCCACCCCCCCGGGTCCTGGGCTAGCCCCCCAGCTCGGGGCGGGGGCTGAGGACACAGGGGGAGATCCAGTCCAAGCCCCTCCATACCTTGGGGGCTTCCTCCAGATACTGCAGACCCGCAGCCATCCGGATGAGGAGGGGGAAGCTGTTGTCCTGCAGGACGTAGGTCCCCTGGGAACAGAGAAGAGCCTGGGGTCGGGGGGTGCTGGGGTGGCACCTGTGCACTTGTGGTGGGGGAGGGAAGGCTGGGAGCCGTTGCCCCCTGCCCCGCTGAGCTGAGGCCTGGAAAGACCTCAAAACCCCTGTCATCATGGCCCCATCCTTCAGGGCTACAGAAGGGCTCAGGGGCTTCCCAGCCCAGGCCAGGGGTCCCCCACGAGGCATGTTGGCCCTGCCCCCCTAGCTGCGTGGCTTCTGGAGTAAACAGTGGAGCAGCCCACCAGGGCCTGGAGCAGAGTGGGCACCGAACTGGAGCTCGGGCCAGCTGTCAGGCCCAGGAGAGATGCTGCTAACCATGGGAGAGCCTACTGCCTACCCTGAGGCCCCATCTCAGGAGGCTTGTGGAAATTCTAGAAATAGCTGTGACACCCTGCCCACCCCCCACCCCTCCACCCCAGTTGCAGCCTCCTGGCCTCCCTTGGAGAATTGGGCAGAGGCCGGGAGAGGGGCCGTGTTGCCAGTGGTGAAGCTTGCCTCCCGCCTATCAGCTTGGGCAACCTCCCTCTGGAAGGGCTCCCCTCCAGCCTCCCTATCCTCTTGGTTTCCGCCTCTGGCTGGAGTCGGGATTCGGGCCCCGGGCGGCGCTACACACCTGGTGATTGGTGCGGAGGCTGTCCATCTGCTTCTGGAACACGGCAACCCACAAGTCTTTGCAGAGGAACTTGAGGACGTCCAGCTCCTCTCTGAAGGCCAGGGTCTCCTGGGGCAGCCTGGGGGGGGGGGCGGGTGGTGGCAGTGACAGGCGCTTGGGCCAGGCTGATGCTGTGGGGCCAGGAGGGCCGGGATGGGGAGCCCAGGGTGAGGAAGAGGGAGGAAGCCAGGCTGGGTTCCTCTACGGAGCAACACAACCCTCCCCGTCCAGGCACGCCCAGGAGGGGGACCGACCTCAGGTCCTGCCTGCCTGTAGCCAGCAGGGGCAGGGGAAAGGCAGGAAGCGCCAGCTCTCACCTCTCGCCCAGGGCCTGGCCCACACGGAAGCCCATGCCCTCCAGCACAGACAGGCTCATCTTCTGTCCCTAAAAGGTCAGGGAAGAGAGGCTCAGGGGCCCTCGGCCACCTCCACCTGGGAACCACCTGGGTTAATAAGACCAGTGTGCCCATCCCTGCCAGCTCAGGGGTGAGGGGAGCCAGGAGGGAGGGCCTTCGGGGACAGGTCCAGGCCTTCTGACTGGCAGGCTGGCTTTGTCCCCCGCCACACGATGTCTTCAAGTCCCTCAACATGCCTCTGCGGATGCCATAGGCTCTTGAGACCAGCCCCCCTTGCTTCACGAGAGGTGGGGGTACGCCCCAGGCTCAGCTTCAGACCTGCTTGTCAGCTCTTTCCTGAGAACACCTATCACTCAGCTCGGGCATTTCCAATGTGCGTCCTTACAACACTGTGGGTAGGTAGCACTCTGATCACCCCAGGGACTCCTGGTGACTTGCCACGGGGCTCGTGTGGCAGCAGCAAGGGAGCCGCAGGGCGTGGGGCCCACCCTCCTGGCCTGGCCAGCAGGAAGCTATAAAAATCAACTGTAATCATTATGCCTTGAAACATCAGCCAAGACCCCTGGGAGGGACACACGGGAGGGAGATGCTCCCTCGGGTGCTCGGGGAAGGCAGTAGCAGCCAAGTGTGGCATTCCCGAGAGCAGAGGCAAGGTCCCGCAGTAGGAGGGGGCAGCAGGTGGGCTGTACTTGGTGTCTGTCCACGTGTCTGCACGTGCTGATGGTGTGCCCCGAGGGGAGTCGGCTTGCACGGATTTCCTTGGGGTGGCCTGAGGACCCTGAGTGCTGGAGGCCCAGGCTGGGGACATCGGAAATACCAGGACAGTGTATGCAGGGAGGTGCCGCTCTCCTCAGAGAAAATGTGGCAGGGCCGAGGTGGGAGGCAGGTGCAGCGCCCTGGGAAGGAGGCAGGAGTCACCGGCCGGAGTCCTTCCCACCCTTCCTCCGGCCACCACACTCCCTTGGGAGTAACTTCCCATCTTCTCTCCGGGTCAGACAGGCCACCACGGCCTCCCCAACGCTGGGGAGGATTTCTCTGCCTAGACCCCATTCAGGAGGATGTCCTGGCCTCCTCAGCAGGCTTCAACAGACGTTGGGGACCCAGCTGTCCACCCCCCACCCTCTGCCCCACCCCTGGGACAGCTTCCATCGTCCAGAAGAGGGGCCTCTGGGCTCACTCACTGTTCCCTGCCCCGCCCCCCCAGGTTAGGTCCGAGATCCCAGCCCAGGCCAGTCTGTGGAGTGGGGACCCAGGCTGACCCTCACAGCCAACACTGGCCTCGGCACACGGGAGGCCCTTAACTGAACAAAGCGGGCAGTCAGGATTCGAGCTTGCACGGTGTGCCAGGTGCTTTGTACAAACCTCTTGTTTAATTTTAACAACCCTGTAAGGTAGGTTCTGGAAGCTGGCACTTGGAAGAGCGAGGTATCAGGTACCCGCAGCCACAGGGCTTCTTTCTGACCTGGGCGGATCTAGTTCCCAAGCCTAAGCGGCCAGGGTGGGTGGGTGGGAGGCCAGACCGACACCTATGGCTGTCCAGGCCTCAGTGGGGTGGCCACGGCTGTGGCCCACCTCGGGGGGCAGGGAGGGGGATGTGCCTGGGAGTAGGGAGGCCCGAGTAGAGGTCACCCAGGCCCCTGAGCAAGTTGGCCCTCTTCTCTGCCAGGCCGCCGGGCTCCTAGGCCCTTGCCCGCATTCCTGTGCTCCTCCTGCAGGACCTGGACCCGGTGACGACACAACTTCCTGCTGGCCAACACTGGCCAGCTCTTTGGAACCCCATAAGCACGTCTCTGCTTTCCTCAGGCCCGACCTCTGGTGACCAAGGTGTGCACAGATGGGCTCAGGTGTGACACCAGTGCAGGGGACACGGCCCAGAGGCTGAGCAACCCCACTGGGGGACCAGGCAGGAGCTGACTGCCCTGTGCCCCCAGCTACTCTCGGGTACAGAGAGGACCATGTTCGCAGCGCTGCCTCCCTCACCAGGGTCCTTAAAAGGATGAAATGCAGGCCAAGCACTCCCCGCTGAGCTCAGTAAGTGTTACTGTCCCTGTCACACACCGCCTGTCGGTCAACCTGGGTGACCAGCCCCTGGTGGAGGGAAAGCCCCAGAGAAGAGCAGCTCTCTTCCATGGGCTGACTTATCTCAGCACCAAGAATGGCCTCAGCTAGCCCTCTCTGCCGGGTGGTGGCCGGGTGGCCATCCTCCCAGAGGGGAGCACCTCAAAGAGGCAGGGCCGGGCTCTGCTGTGACCAAGCACATCTGTGTCCCTGAGGACTTCCCGAGGCATAAGGGGGACTCTCTCATTCATTCCACAAACATGTCCTGGTGGCCTCTATGAGCCGGCCGTTGTGCCTGGTGGGGTGACAGGTGCCCAGGTGATGGGCAACCCCTATGCCAGGGGAGCCGGGCAGCACAGAGCAGGGCAGAGCCAGTTCCCCCAGAAGGGGTCCCGGGGTGCTTCTCAGAGGAGGGCGGGGTAGGGAACTCCCAGCAGAGGGTTGGTGCAAAGGCAAGGAAGCAGGAAGAGCCCTGGGGGGTGCAGCTCAGGCCACAAGGATGGGGGAGGGTGGTGAGAGGTGGGGGAGGGGACTCCTGCAGACCAGACTGAGGGGGACACAGTGGGAGAGGGCATGACAGTCCCTGCCCCGAGGGAGCGGGGAGCCCATAGGAACTGAAGCGGGCTCCAGCCCAGGTGGGGGCCCCACAGGGGAAAAGCAGGACTGTGAGAGCTCCTCTGGGGCCAAGTCTGAAGGAAGCAGAGTGAAGCCCGGAAGGGAGTGGGGTGGCACCCCAAGGCCTGGTCACAGCCAGGATAGTGGCCCTGAGAGGGGACAGCCCAGGAGTCTGCAGGGTCTTCAGCCAGGCCGGGAGCTCCAAGATGGGGATGGAGGGGGTTCTGGAAAGGTGTCCCTTCAGTGAGCTTCAGACTGCCGGCGTTCAAGGCCTGGCTCCGCTGCTTACTGACCTTGGGCAAGCTATCTGGGCCTGTTTCATGTGTGAAAGGGGGCTGACAGCAGGCCCCACCTCATAGCGGTGGCATGACGGGCACTGGGCAATGGGTCCTGCCCAGCTGCTGTCACCACCCGCCCCGCTGTACTCAACTAGGGGCCAATGACATGGTGCTGAACTGGAAAGATTCGGGGGCGGGGGGATATGGGGTGTAGGACCAACAGGAAAGGGCAGGGAGAGAGGCAGTGCAAGGGAGGGGTCAAGGATGAGCAAGTGAAAAGAGGGTGGAGGAGGAAGGGACCAGAAGCTTCCCCTGTTCCATCACCACCTGCCTCCCCCAGTCCCTGCAGAAGCTCTTCAGGGATTAGAGGTTTATCATTCCTATGAAACGCAGGGCGGGCCGCTCATCCTCTGGGCCCATCCCAGGGCCAGGGCGCTTCTGGGTTCTTGGCCACCCTCACCCCCAACCTCAAATGAGTTTGCACAACAGCCCACGGAGAAGAAACAAGATCGTGCAGAAACAGAGGAGAACCCCTTCGAGAAGGCTCTCCTAGTGTCCCCCCAACAGCATGGGAGCCAGGAGGAAGGGGCAACTGGAGGGGAGCCCTGGGAAATGGAAAGTACGGTAGCACCAATAACCTCTGTTAACAAGGGAGCCGACAGACAGACATAGCTGTCAAGGACAGACATTTCCTGTCAAGGAAAAGCCACGAGGTAGGAACAAATGGCAGGAAAGGTATAAGACACACGGAAGGGACCCAGAAAGTCCAGCATTCTAGGGCCAAGGACGCGCTGGAACAATGTGGAAGAAGAATCAAAGAGACGAAAAGAGAGGAGGGTGCTCAGCAACAGGAAGGTTCAAGTGTTTGAAAAGAGAAGGGACACCGAGCCCCAAGGAGGATGACAGGAAAATAAGCAAACTGAGCCACCCCACAAGCCCGCACGTCCTGAGCCCTGGACTCCCAGAGAATATCCTGGACTAAAGCTGGGGAGCTGGTGGGAGGGGGGCCTGTGCCAGGCTCCTTCTCGTCTCTTCTGCAGCCCTGCCCCTCCGTGATCTGTGCAGGTTCTGGAGGGGGGCCCAGGGGCCAGCTGCTCGGGCTCCTCCCTTAAGAGGAGCACGGGGAGAGGGAACATTCTGGCTTCCCCCAGGTGCATGGCCCCAGAAGATCCAAGAGTGCGGAGAGTGAACCCATGAGTAAGAATGAGCAAGCGGGAAAAGCCAGCACGCCTCCCACCCTGTGGCCCAGGACTCACTGCCCACATCCACCCAGGCGGTCCTAGACACCCCAGATCCCGCCTTCTCCCCGCCCCCCAATACTCCCAAAGGCCCCCCAGTCCTAATTCCCCCAGGGCTGAGCACCTGCCTGTGCTCTGGGCCCCTATAGCCACCAACCTCCCTCAGGTTGGTTCAGGCTCATTCACGTGGCCTGGGAGACCTTTCTAAAAAGTAGAGCTGAAGCCCGTGCACCTCAGTGTAAACCTTATATGGCTCCCACCACTCTCAGGACAGAGCCCTTGCTCCCACCACTAGCTCCCTGGCCTCAAGGGCACTGTGTCCCCTGCAGGGCTATGTCCCCAGGGGGTCCACTCTGCCAGGAACCGGTCGGTGGGTTTCCCAGGCGCTGGCTGAGGGCCGGGGCTCCATCTGACAGCTGCTGCACCCACCCCAGGTGCCTGGGCTGGCACGGGTGCTCGCTGGGCTGGGCCGGGGTGGAGGAAGGTCTGGCCCAGCAGGGCTGCTCCTGGGCCCCCTGCCAGGGCTCACAGTAGTAGGTGACAGTAGGTGAGACCCACGCTTACTGGTGTGCAGAGGAATTAACTCCTTTGCCCCCAGGCTTTCCTTATCTTCAAAGCTGCTGAGGTGGAGAAACCACAGGCACCTCCTCCCCGGGTTTTTCCTGCTCTGGTAACAAAGGCCCTTTGAACTCGTGGCTCCTCGGCTCCTCGGGTTAGTCTTCCACTCCACCTGTAACCCTTCCAGAAGGATCCATTCAACAGCCACAGATAACCAACGTGCCAGGCAGGATACGGAAATCCCCCAAACTCCTGGGCATGTGTGCTCTGGGGACAGATGAACGAGCCACCCACTGTCCCTGGGCTCAAGGAAGGTGGTGGCTGGGGGGAGGGGCAGACCTGAAGCCACAGACAAGCCTTGGAGCCTGATGCCTGAGTCCTTATTTCCCCTCTGATTCTTGCCACCTGCAGCCCAGGGAAAGCCCCACCTCTGGTGCCTCAGCCCCTTCTCTGTAAAATGGGGTAATAGCGTCTACCTTACAAGGCTGTTCTGAGGACTAAATCCAACACAATACTGTGCTGGGGACACGGTAAGTCCCCAGCAGGAGGCCCGCATCTGGTTCATATGGGACACTTGTTGGGCCGAAGAGAAAGAACAGAAAGAGGAAGAAGGAGGAGGGAAGAGTGGGAGTGGAAGAGACAGGGTTGAGCAAATAACAGTTCTCTCTCTCTTTCTCTCCTCTCTCTCTCTCTTTTTTTAATTTTATTTGAGAGAGCGAGCAAAAGTGGGGTTGGGCAGAGGGAGATGGAGAAGCAGACTCCCCACTGAGTAGGGAGCCCAAAATGGGGCTTGATCCCTGGACCCTGGGACCATGACCTGAGCCCAAGGCAGACACTTAACTGACTAAGCCACCGAGGCGCCCCAAACAGCAGTTCTCTTGATACAGCCCTGAAAATGGGGCTCCCAGGTGGAAGGGCGGTGGGGGAACCGCTGCAGACCTCAGCCCCGGCTGTACCCGGAAAGCACTCAGGACTCAGCACGGAATCCCAGTGGCAGCGGGGTCCCAGGCACATTTGTGTGTTTTGAAAGCCCGAGGTGAGCACGGCTGAGTAACCCAGCATTTCCCACACTTGCTTGACCACAGAAACCCATTAAAATCCTCCCGGAGCGTGCCAGGGAAGGCTCACCGGGAAATGCGGGCCAGCGTTTACAGCGCAGGTTTGGAGGCGGGAGGCCTAGTTATATTCCTGACTCTGCCACTTGAGGGCAAGCACTCCTGTGCATCAAAGCCTCTGTTTCTCAGGTTCCAAAGCCTACAAAGCGGGGAGGATTGTGCTGACCTCTGTGGGTCGGTAGGAGGATCAAATGAAATCAGGAGTGTGAAGCCCATGAGCGGGCACTGGAAACATTCATTTGTGGTAGGGCGCTCCTATTATTACAAATCTCAGTCCCCACCCCAGCCCTCCACAGCAGGGGGACTGAGTCCACTTGAACAAACCCAGGCCAAGGACCTACTGTGTGGTGATCAGTGTAGACCTGGCCATGGAGTGCAGTCGGGGGTGGGGTGGCAGAGGGCAGACATGAATCAAAGGCTCATAGGAGCCTAGAATTCAGATGTATACTTGAGTGTGATAGGACTACTAAGGACAAATGGGAAGGGGCTGCAAGAACGTCACAAGGACACCTGACTTGAACTGGGGGCTTGGGGAAGGCTTCCCCAAGGAAGAGGCATTTGAGCCAAGGTCCAAAGGATTAATAGATGGGAATGCATTGAAGATACAACAGGTGAAATGAGCTGAGAGATGAGGGTACAGGGGCTGGTACAGGGGCAGAGAGGGGCCTGGACTGTAGGGCAGGGGTGAGGAGAGGTGGCACCCATGATCAGAAAGAATGAGCAGGGCCTGGCTGGGAGGAAAGGCTGATGTCAGGGACACTGGGGATTGTGGCTTGAAAGCCAGGCTGGATGGGGTACGGAGACTCTGCAACCCCCTCTCCAACACACAGGCCCATGCACACTCCCCATCCCCATCCCTTCATCTTTCTCATAGCATTTCCTTACCACACTATACTTGATTCATTTAGCTTCTTTGTGTCCCTCGATGACAACCTAAGCTCCAGGAGGGCTAGGAGTTTTTTTATTTTTTAAATTCATGAGAGACACACACAAAAAGTGAGAGGCAGAGACACAGGCAGAGGGAGAAGCAGGCACCATGCAGAGAGCCTGACATGGGACTCGATCCAGGGTCTCTAGGATCACACCCTGGGCTGCAGGCGGCATTAAACCACTGCGCCACCGGGGCTGCCCCAGGACCAGGAGTTTTATACAGTTCACTGAGGAACTCCCAGAGCCTGCCACAGAGCCTGACACTTGGTAGCTTTGAGATGAAGTTTGTGGAATGAATGAACTTGAAAGAAACTATGTTGAGATGAGAAGCAACATCCTCCTCCCCAGCTCCTAAACCAGAAAACTTAAGCCAGTAAAAAATCTTGCATATTGATGAGGATGATGATTGAAGTGATTAATAATTATGAAAAAAACTTGATCACGGCACTCAGTCATCAAACACCTAACTCCCCCCTACCCTTTCTTCTTGGTAACAGATTTTACAAGAGCTTCCATGTTCTGGGGGTGGATTAGGTGCTTGACATCACACCAAGTGCTTTAAAGTTCGAGCTCATTTGTTCTTCCTAAGAACCAACTTCCAAAATGCCAAGCATGCTCCTACCTCAGGGCTTTGCACCTGCTGTTCCTTCTTCTGGGATGCCCCCTTCACTCCTCTTGCCTTCACCGCATGGCTAAATTCCTACAGTCTGTTCCTCAGAAGGGCTTTCCTCCACCATCAACCACTCCATCCCTATTCTTTTCATGATTCTATGGAATTTCTTTTCGTTTTCTTAAGATTTTATTTATTTGAGAGAGAAAGAGAGAGAGCATGAGCAGGGGAAAGGGCACAGAGGCATAGGGAGAAGCAGGCTCCCCACTAGCATAAAGCCCTACCTGAGGCTCCATCCCAGGACCCTGAGATCATGATCTGAGCCAAAGGCAGATGCTTAACCAATTGAGCTACCCAGGCGCCCCTCTATGGAAGTTTTCTTGATCGGACTTCTCACTAGCTAGTGGCATATTCTTGTTTGTTTGACTCCCCTACTAAGTTTCCCAAGGACAGGGAAACAGTACCTGAATACAATAGGTGCCTCATAAGTGTCTATTGCATGAGTAAATGCCCCTCTCTGAGACTGAGGCGCTGTTATAATACCCACTTTACTAAGGAGGAAACTGAGGCACACAGGGGATTGAGTCACTGGCTCTCCCACCTACATAGTGGAGCAGGCGTGGATCCAACCCGGGCAGTTAAGTCCTTGGTACACATCCAATGGACAGTAATTACCATAATTACTACCTGCTGACTCCGTGCTAGGCCTTGAGCTAGGCTTTAGCCGGAGCTGCCTCGCTCACCTGTAGCAGGGACCCGCGAGGCCGGCCCTGCTGCGATGCCCACGGAGCCAGCGCCCCGCGAGGGCAGGGGCGGGGTCGCGGCTCGACCCGGGCCGTCGACCCGCCCTCGGCGCTCCCCAGGGCCACGCCCCGGCCTTCCCGCCGCGGCCCGCGCCTCCTCCCCCCGGGTCCCGGCGCTCACCCCAGGGCCAGGGTCGGAGTGGTGCGCCCACAGCTCCGCCACCATCTCGGTGTGCAGAAACTCGAATAGCGCCGCGTCCGCCATGCGCCGGCCTCGCGCCCAACGACCGGCTAGCGCTCCGTGCTCTCATTGGCCCGGCTGGGCAGGCCCCGCCTCCCGCACTTGGTGCGAGCCCGCCCCCATTGGTGTTTCACACTAAGCCCCGCCTCCCGGGCTCACATGGTGCGCGCGTGAACCCGGGAGACCCAGGGGGAGGGCCTGTTTTCATTGGCCACACGTGACAGCGTCTCCGCCCTTCCCCTTCGCCTCCTCGCTGTTTCCGGGTTGTCGAGCCTTCCCATTGGCCGGATCACTGGTCACGGGAGACAAACCCCGTTTTTAAAAATTTCTATTCGTCCACTCTCCACGCAGCGCAATCCGGAAGCGCCAGCCCAGCCGCTTTCCTATTGGCCAGGCCTCCGCTCACGTGATTGCTCACGCCCCCGCCCTCCTCGCCCCTGCACACAGCTGGTTTTGAGGGCTAGCTTTCCTGGTAGGTAGCCGAGCGGCCCACGTGTGTGGCCGCCATGCCCGCCCTACGTGCGCCCCGATTGGTTGGGGCTGTCACCCTCCTCCCTCGGGAAAGACGGCGCGCTCCGGCTGCGTAGCGGATCCTGCAGGCTCCGAGCTTCGGTAAGCCAGGTACGGTCTCCGGTGACAGCGCTCCCCCGCGTCCGCGCTAGTGCACCCTCCCGGGAGTCCAGCTGGGCTGTCACCCTCTCTGTGACCCTGGCACTGGCCCCTGGGCAGCTCAGGAGCCCGTGTACTTCCGGATCTGACAGAGGCTTGGAGGACGGAGGGGAGGGTGTGGCCTCTGCTAGGAGGCAAAATCGGAAAGAGCTGGGTTTGGGATTCGGGGACGCGGGCCACGGGGCTTTCATCCACCCGGTCCTCAGTTTCCCCAAAGAGGGTGGGGTCCAGTGGCTTCCATTATCTCTGGCAGCAGGGCCGACGAGCCCGTTTACAGAAGAGGGAACTGAGGCCCAGGCGCGGGCAGCAGATGGCCCCAAATCGCTAACCTAGTCAGTGCAGGGCTTGGGGTTCCAGCACCCGCGCCTCTTAACCACCGCCGGGCGCCTCTCTTCTCCCTAGTTCGGCGGCATGGCGTCCCAGGGTCGTCGGCGGAGGCCGCCGCGGAGGCCCGAGACCGTGGTGCCGGGGGAGGCGGCCGAGACGGACTCGGAGCTCTCTGCGTCCTCGTCGGAGGAGGAGCTGTACCTGGGCCCCTCGGGCCCGACGCGCGGCCGCCCCACGGGGCTGCGGGTGGCCGGGGAGGCCGCGGAAACCGACTCGGACTCGGAGCCGGAGGCGACCGCCGCGCCGGGGGACCTGCCTCCGCTGGTGGTGCAGCGGGAAACGGCCGGGGAGGCCTGGGGCTCGGAGGAGGCCCCGGCGCCGGCCCCCGCGCGCTCGCTGCTGCAGCTCCGGCTGGCCGAGAGCCAGGCGCGGCTGGACCACGACGTGGCGGCCGCGGTGAGCGGCGTGTACCGCCGCGCGGGCCGCGATGTGGCCGCCCTGGCCGGGAGGCTTGCGGCCGCTCAGGCGGCGGGGTTGGCGGCGGCCCACAGCGTGCGCCTGGCGCGGGGGGACCTCTGCGCGCTGGCGGAGCGCCTGGACATCGTGGCCGGCTGCCGCCTGCTGCCCGACATCCGCGGCGTGCCGGGGACCGAACCTGAGCAAGACCCGGGACCGCGGGCCTAGCCGGCTCCCCCTCCCCGGCCTGACTCTGCGCCCTGGGGGGAGTCCTGAGGCCTCTGCGACCCGGCCCTGTCCCCTGTGCAGCTCCCCGCGCGTCTTGCTGTCACCCTCTGGACGTGCGTCACCTGCAGGAAAGCGCAGTGTTGGGGAGCGTGGTGACGGCGCAAGCCCCGCCCTGTCTCCAGCATCTGGCTCCTCCCCCTGGCCCTGTCCTCCGCTCCCTGGTTTGGCTCCAGGCCCTGGTAACCAGTAGCTCCCTCATCTTTCTCCATGCCGGGCTCTCGCGTTGCTTCACGTTTCCTTGTGCTCTGCCTTTCTTGAGTTTGGTTTCTGCTCACAAGGGCTGGTTTGCTTCTTCCCATAGGCGCCTCGGAATCTGGCCCAGATTCCATGGCATCTTCCTTCACTCCCCTGGCTCTGCCTTTGGTCCTAGCCCCACTTCTGGAACTTCGTCCCCATAGGCTGGGCCCTGGTTCCATCTCCTGGTCCTTGCTCTGCTGTCTCCCAGCTTCCAATCCTTGGGGCTTAGCTCCAGCCCCTGGGGTTGATCTCATGTCCTGAGTCCAGCTGTACCCTTAGGATTAGTCTTGCTTCTTTTGCCTTCCCCATTCTGCTTGTACTACCTACCTCATCCTGAGCTTCACAGACTCCCTCCCCCCACCTGCCCATGGTTTCCTTCATCAGGCCCAAGATCTCCCCCTTGCCCCACCCACCCGGCCCAAGGGGGTCTTCCCAATTTTCCAGGCTGAAGATGGCATCTCCTCCAGAACTTCTGGACCAAGTGGTCATGTCCTCCCCACCTTCCAAACCAAGGTGGCTTTTGTGTCCAAGCTCTAGATATAACATGGGTCTTCTCCTGACTGTCCAGGCTGACAGGGGCACTCTTCTGGCACTTAGGGCCTAATGCAGTCTTGCCCCAGTACTTTAGGTGCATTGTGACACCGATTTGCAGATAATAAAACACCACACACTTGGTGTTTTATTCCCTGTGTTGGCCCCTGGAGGCTACAGGGACCTGGGTTTCTGGCTTGGCTCAGGGCCTGGGCTTAGCAGACTCTGCTCTCTCTCCTGCCCCCAGCCCTGGCCCCTCAGTCCCGTTCATATTTATCCACCTCCCCCACTTTATAATCCCAACCTGAAGCTGAGATCCGAGCCTCCTGGGATAGAGAAGTGAAGAAGAGTGCGCTGTACCCATCTCATTAAGACTCAGAACATTTACTGCTATGGGATAGGTTCGTTGATGATTTATTTCTCTGAGAATGGGAGTCCCAAGAGATCTTTCATGCCTGGCCTGTTGAAGGTGAAGCTGTCGCCGGGTAATCGGGACCCTTTGTTTTTTGCCCTGGTTCTGCATTTACTTACATATTGTTAATTCACATAGTTACTGAGCACCTGTTCAGCGCCTGCCCTGTGCTGGGCATTGAGGCTACAACATCCAGCCCAGGCCCTCACGTTGCTCCCAGCCCACTGGGGGAGACAGACATTAATAAAATTTTCTCCTAAATAAATGGATAGTTTTAATATCAATTTATATATTAGCTGTAGTTTTTCTGACACTGTAATTAGGGCCGTGAAGAGTACAGTTTTGTGAAGGTATAACCGAGATCTCTCTGACCTTGTCTGGGCAGATGGGGGGAGGTCACATGGCCACCCCGTGGAAGTGATGCATGAGTTTGAGCTGAGCCCTGAAGCTGTAAATGGGTGAAACTGTAATGAGTGGAGAAGAGTTGCAGGCGGGGGGGAACAGTGTATGCAAAGGCCCAGAGTCAGAAGGGAGCATAACCTATTTAGCAGAAAAAGGTGACATCCTCTACTGGAGATAGCAGTAGCGCTGGGGGGAGGGGGTGGAGGTGGGTGAGTGTTGTCACCAGCAGAGGCCAGACAAAGCTGGGCTTTTAAACCAGGTAAGGAAGGACTCGGCCGGCCTCTATCCAACAACCAGTAAGCAGACAATGGTGCCAATGAATGTGTCTTTTGTGAAGGAGATTCTGGGACTGATGTTTCTGCAGTGTGGATGCCTCTGGAAAAATACCCAGAAATGCCAGTTTAAAAATAAACTGGGGTGTCCTGGTGGCTCAGTCAGTTAAGCGTCTACCTTTGGCTTAGGTCATGATCTCAGGGTCCTGGGATCCAGCCCCTGGTCAGCTCCCTGCTCAGTGGGGAATCTGCTCTTCCCTTTTTCTCTGCCCCTCCACCCCCCGCCCCCCCGCTCATGCTCTCTCAAGTAAAATCTTTTTTTTTAGATTTAAAAAAATTATTTATTCATGAGAGACACACAGAGAGCAGCAGAGACATAGGCAGAGGGAGAAACAGTCTCCCTGGGGGAAGCCCAATGCGGGACTTGATCCCAGGACCCCAGGACCGTGACCCAAGCCAAGGCAGACACTCAACCACCAGGTACCCCAATAAATAAAACCTTTTTAAAAGTAAAATAAACAAACATCCTTTAAATGTACAGAGGAACTCAGAAGGGAGCAAGGGAAATCTCCCGGGCCCATATTGCAGAGGTAGCTTCGAACTGGTGGCCCTGACAATATTTGCCCATACCAGAGACACAAGGCCTTGGAAATGAACAACTGCCAGGCCTTGGGCCCGGCAGTTTGGAGGGAAGCAGAGGCCCCTGCATAAAAGTCGGTCCCTCAAAGAGCTACACCTCCAATGAGAGAATGTGATAGAAAAAAGGCAAATTGATACTTTCGAGGCACACCTATGAAACTTGCCCATCTCAGCTTCGGCTCTGCATGGAGAAAATGTTTCCTCGGGGACTTCACAACCACCAGTTCAACTGGGATTTGGATTTACCCTTGCATAACAGTCCAGGAAACCCCCAGCATAGAAATGAACTGGAGGCGAGCTCTGGTTGAAGCCAGGGAACCCAGTCATAAGTGGCTTCATGCAGAGTCAGAGCAGGTTAGGGTCAACCGTATTTAAGGACACAGTCGAAAACTGCATAGGTTACCCGAGGATAATGTGATGAACTAGTCTGGGCTGCTGGATCCCTTCCCCAAATTTAACCTTGGAGAAACTGGAAGAAAGAAAGAAGCCTGTCAGAGTGTTAATGTGTCCTGTTGGAGAGCATCCAGTTCGTTCACTAAGCACACAGACAACGAGCAAATGGGGGAGAAGCCTAAAGCCAGAGGTAAGTCTGTGAGACCCATTTGTGGATCCTCCATCCCTGTGGGCCCTGCAGGGTTACCTGCGTCTGCTGTTCTCCCCCAGAAGTTCAGTGAGGTTCACAAAAGATGCGTTGGGAAAGAACTTGGGCAGAAATTACAGCAGAACCAGGGCAGCCCGGGTGGCTCAGTGGGTTAGCGCCGCCTTCGGCCCAGGGCGTGATCCTGGAGACCTGGAGATTGTGGAGATCTGGAGACCGTGGAGATCGAATCCCACATCAGGCTCCCTGCATGGAGCCTGCTTGTCCCTCTGCCTGTGTCTCTGCCTCTCTCTCTCTCTCTCTCTCTCTCATGAATGAATAAATAAAATCTTAAAAAAAAAATTACCGCAGAACCAATTATCCTGTAGCTCCTTTGCCATCCCCTCCACCCCCGTCTGTACACAGGTTCCATCTGATGGGAGATAAGCACAAGCCAAAAGGTCAAAAGAAGGGGGGCCGTGGGGGCTGATGCATAATCCTCCCCCTAATTGCTTAGTAGCCTTTGGTGTCCACTCGGTCAGATTGTGTGGCATTTGCCTGACTCGTTGTTAATATCGGTCAGGGACAAAGGCAGGTTTATCCATAGGGTGGACAAGGGACCCCTTTTGGGCCGTGTGGTTAGGAGCCTTGTCAGCTCTGTCCTTCCTTAGAGATACAGTGTCAGTGTCCTTGGTACGGCCTCCCGGGGGGACAGTAGCAGTTTTAGCAGGGAAGTGAGTAGCCAGCATGGCTATTCCCAGGGGCAGCAGGAGTCCCAGCAGAGGTTAAGAACTTGCGGGATTTCTAGATGTGTCAGCAGCCCGGCAGGTTCTAAAAGTGGATCCGGAATTGGTGTGCTGGTGGCCGTTTTCTCCTCTGCTGCTGTGGAAGCTCTAGGAGGATCTCTGAGCTGGGCGCCTTGGTGGGGAGAGTGTTTGCTTCCCGTGCTTCATCCACAGGAGCTGTCACAGGTAGGGGCAAGTCTGGGGGACGCCTGGGTGGCTCAGTGGTTGAGTGTCTGCCTTCGGCTCAGGGTGTGATCTGGGGTTCTGGGATCAAGTCCCACATCAGGCTCCCTCCATGGAGCCTGCTTCTCCCTCTGCCTGTGTCTCTGCCTCTCTCTGTCTCTCATGAATAAATAAATAAAATCTTAAAAAAAAAAAAAGGAAGAAGCAAGTCTGGGTTGTCTGCAGGGCAGCTAGGCGGTCCCCTGGTGGCTCAGAGACCATTTGCAAAGTGTGCTGGCAAGGCAATCAGCTGGTGGACAGAGCAGGGACTCCCCAGCAGGGAGGGACAGGAGAGCGCAGGTGTCAGTGTCACAGCCCCGAAAGATGCTGGAGGGGTGGGTCAGGAGGCTGCTCACAGGAGGTCTGCCAGCAGAGGAGAGGGTGCCATGTCCCAGGAACCTCTAAGGGGACAGATGCTGTCTCGGGATCGTAGAGGTGAGAGGGCTCTACTGGGAGAGCCCCGGCTTTGGGCTTTGTTGTTTGGATGTGCTGGCAGGTCCGGGGTGTGCCTGATGCCATGGGCCCCAGGACTCACGTGGGGGACAGAAGCTCATCCTAGAAGCCCACTGCACTTTCTCCATCCTCCTGGTAGCGTAGGTGAAGAGGTTTGTCACAGTTAGGGAGGCTGAGAGTGGGGGCTGTGGACGATGGCTCATTTTCAACTTCAAAGGAGGTCCCTGCCCCCCAAAGGCCAGGAAATGGGCTTGGACGAGCATCTGGGAGGAGGGCATGTAGAGGTTTGGCAGGAGCAGCAGAAATAGCCATCCGTGGGCGGCAGTAGCCAGCTGCCCCTGGAGATTACAAAGCGCAGTTTTAGCTGGGGAAGGACAGACAGAAATGATTTGAGGTGTTGGGGTCCGGTTTTGAGTTTTCCAGTGGGCAGAGGCATCTCAGGTCCTCAGCAGGTGACAGCACTTTGCACCCACAGAAGTTAGGTCTGGAGGCATGATGGCCTCGTTCAGTTAGTGCCTTGAGGGGGACAAGGGAGTCTGTAAGTCCCCCTGCTTGGTCTAATTACAGAGTACGAGGTCATCTATACATCAAACAAGAGAGGCACCCGGGTGACTCAGTCGGTTGAGGATCCGATTCTTTTTTTCTTTAATTAAAAAAAGTTTTTTTTTTTATTGGAGTTCAATTTGCCAACATACAGCATATTACCCAGTGCTCATCCTGTCCAGTGCCCGATTCTTGACTTCAGGTCAGGTCACGATCTCAGGGTGATGGGATTGAGCCCTGCATGGGGAGCTAAGCACAGAGACCATTTGTCCTTCTCCCTCTGCTCCTTCCCCATTCCCTTTCTCCCTCTCTAGCTCTAAAATAAATAAATAAAATCTTTCAAGAATGTGTATGTAATGTGTATATAATTAAGGCAGCTTTAAGGAATTGGGGACACTCAGAGCACCCCCGAGGTATGCAAGGCTTGTTCAGCGTCTCCCTCTGAACATGAGGCAAAGAGAAATCTCGAGTGGGGAGTGGGGAGGCACTGGGAAGAGAGCCGAGCAGGGGTCCCTCCTGCGGGCCAGGCTGGATGACAGTGGAGGCTAGGGGGGTGCCCAAAGGGCCGCCAGAACCTCGTGAGTTCCTGGCTCTTCGGTTTGGTACAAACTGGTAGATTTGATTCTTTTCTGGATCAAGCTTCCTCTCCTTTTTCATGGGTGAGATTGGAGTATCGCAGGGTGAAGAAGTAAAGATCAGGACATCCTGCTATAATAGAGTCTTATGGGTTCAATTCCTTATTCTGCACCTGTTGTGGGGGAGAGAGAAGGAGGGGAGGGAGGGAGGGGGAGAGAGGAGGAAGGAGATGGTCCCCCTTGGGAAAGCTTTATTCCTTTTCCAGGCAATGCATCTGGGTTCTGCACTTAATAGTAATTCGACTCTGTTTGTATATGAGGCCCAAAGACTAATTGGGACCTTTTTTTTTTTTTTAAGATTTTATCCATTTATTTGACAGAGAGCACAGGCAGGGGGAGTGGACAGAGGGAGAGGGAGAAGCAGGGAGCCCGATGAGGGGATCAATCCCAGGACCCGGAGATCGGAGATCGTGACCTGAGCCCAAGGAAGATTCTTTTTTTTTTAAGATTTATTTATTTATTCATTCATGAGAGACACAGAGAAAGAGGCAGAGACACAGGCAGAGGGAGAAGCAGGCTCCCCAGGATCCCGCCCTTAGCCGAAGGCAGACGCTCAACCACTGAGCCACCCAGGCGCCCGTTGGCCTTGGCTTCTTGCAGTGTCCACAGTTGTCTTGACACAAGCAGGTGAAGCTCTGCGGTTGGCAAGAGAAACGGGTGGACTTTGAGTTACTCCCAGGGTCAACTTCTGTTTTTCTAAAGACTCTATGTGCCAGGCAAGGACCATTGATTTTCAT